AATCCAATGGAAAGCATCAAGATTCAGGAATGGGATCTCTTGATGATTGTGACATCCAGGCCATAGGCCAGAAGTTTCCTTAAACCTCTGCTTGGAAAAAAAAAATCTTGTATTAAAATATGAAATTAACCTTCTGTGGTAGCTTGCCTCCCCTCAGCCTCTCCCACAGTGACCACCTCTCCCATGATGCCTCAGCAGATTTTTCTCTAAAGTAAGTCCCACCTGCTAACTCACCTAGTTGATGGATCCAAGCAAGGTCTCCTTCCAGTCCAGGCAGCAAGGAAGAGAGAAATAGGGTCTTTTCAATAGCCTCTTCAGTCTTCTCCCTTCCTTCTGCCTCCTGGTCCTACTTGAATTTGAAGACAGGGACCCCATCTCCCACAAAGGTGGTATATATCCTAGCACTTGGATATCATTTTCCTTAAATATAAGCTCCCTCCTGTTACATATATTTGCTTGTAAATGCTTATATAAATCCCAAGCATCATATTTTTGTAGGTTTTTTTGCAGGTATTTGACTTCTACTTTTCCTCTCATGGGTTTTTTATTTCCCCTTCCTCCTACAAGGCCACCCTGCCAAAATCTACCACCAACACCAAGAGAAAGGAAAATCTGGATAAGCACAAAGTGAGTCTTTCTGTTTAGTTTGCCGGGAATGCCCCTCTCCCAGCAGCATAGGATGTAGCTTCACAAAGGAGAAGCTATAGCAGAGAGCGTGGCAGGTTATCTCCAGGCTGGCCCTAGTGGAAATGACTAGAGACTATTTCTGCAGAGCAGAGTCTGGAAGAATATGGAATCTTTTTTTAAAATTAAATTAAATTAAATTTTTTTTTGCCAGTCATGAGGCCTGAACTCTGGACCTGGGTGCTGTCCCTCAGCTCTTCAGTTCAAGGCTAGTGCTCTACCACTTGAGCCACAGCGCCACTTCTGGCTTTTTCTGCTTATGTGGTGCTGAGAAATCGAACCTAGGGCTTCATGCATGCAAGGCAAGCACTCTACCACTGAGCCAGCTTCCCAGCCCATTGGCAAAGGAGTCTTGGAGCCCCTAGCTTGAAGGGAAAGCAATCCCTGTTCTCCAGTGCTTGCATTAGCAATTTGCCCAGAGATACCCTCAGACATGAAGGCTTTCCAGGTAACTCTGAGAGTCCAGTTAACTTCTTTTCAAAGCCAGGAGACTTGAGGGCAGCAGACTTCTGACTCAGTGACCTGAGATCTCCTAGGTTAAGGGGAGCCTGGGAGCTCAGGGACTGGCATAATAGGGTGGCCTCCCTAGGGGTAGAGAGGAGATCACCCTAATTCTGTTCCCCTGACACCTCCCTCAGCTTTCTGTAGTCTACTTCCTGAGTCACAGCCAGGGTGATGGTGACAGAAACACCCGCCAGGATAGGGGGTGGCAGCTTCAGGTGGGGAGCTGTACATCAAAATTCACAGAACTGAGCATTCCGGCAGAGTGAAGGTTACCATATGCAAATTATATCTCCATTAAAAAAAAGACATAAAGAAGAAATCACAGGATGTGAATGATTATACAAAAGATTAAAATAATAATGCACACAGAAATTTCTGCACCCCCTCCGGTCCCATCTCTTCCCCCTCCTCCCCCAGCAGCTTCTTTTCCTTCTCCTCTTCTTCCTCTTCCTTTGCTTCATCCTCTCCTCCTTACATGTCCCCAGGGACACCTGCTACAAGAACATGACAGATTCTTTATTATATCTCCTCATGAAAGCCAAATTCCTTTGCTGCATCATTCTTACTTTAGTTTAAAATGGATTTCTACTTCCTTTTGTGTGGTTCATTGATATAGGGCTGTTTCTGTCACTAACCCCCAAGCTCCATGAAGGTAGGGACCCCACCCACCCCATCTCTGTAGACTCATTGTGTCATATGGAAACTGATGGGATCATCCTTAGCACATTGTGTGTGTGCCTCCCTCTCCCCCCTACTCACGGGTCTACAAAGCAGTGTCAGGTGTGGTACTAGGTAACACCATAGGGCTGTCTCAGCAAACATTTGTGCTTAAGGAATTTCCAGGTTCTGCTATATCATCCTTTTAGGATTAGAGAATGAAAAACAGGGTGATTCACAGCCTAAAATCAGACAGGAGTTTCCAAATATTCTGGGAATCACATCCAGTTTTTGAGGTTCACCTATGTCACCTTTGGTTTATTCTTGGCATTGCTATCTTCCTCATCTTCTGGGAAAGTTCAACACCTTGCTTGCCACAGTAAAATACATTAAAGACAATTTAAAACACAAAGCCAGATATCTGATAGGTTGAGTGGTGATCAGAGGCTCTTTCTATGTGTGTGTGTGTGTGTGTGTGTGTGTGTGTGTGTGTGTGTTTTAATGTTTCTTTCCAAAGTTGTGATTTCTAGTCCTAGCACATACAGCAAAACCTTTGTCCAAGTATGCCTCTGCAGTGAGCTCTCAGGTAGGGAACCAGCTTTGAGGATCCTGGCTGTATGACTCACTGATTTCACTATCTGTAGTCTTCCTGCACAGTTACCACAAGGGAAGGTTTTATGCAACCAGTTATTGCAAAGCTATTGGGGTGGATGCTACTAAAGCCAGCCAGCAGGACTGTTGACTAGCTCTAGACATATCCTGAGACAAAGGCTCAGGCCTTGCCACCACCATGCCTGCATGATTTATTACTACAGGGCCAGCGCAGTACAGATGCTCACAGATCACCAAGCGCTAAGTGTGGAAGAATGTTGTGCTGCCTTTCTCCCTTCCGACCTCAGTACATCTCTCCAGGGGCCTTGAGAAAGCAGAGTTTATGACTGGTAAGAGTTCAACCCTCAAAAATTTCCCTTTGCACTTACTTCAAGTGAGAAACTGGGATCTGGAAAGCTGAAATCCCTGCTCATGGGTGGAGTTAAAGCTGAGGCCCTCCACTGCTCTCAGTATCTTTCCTTCCCTTAGCCCCAACCTGTTTCTCTTTCAACCCTTATCAATTAATTTAAAAGGCTGCATCGTAACAATAGAACATCTTATTCTGTACTAACCTGGGTAGCTGAGCATGACACTGTGTCCATGTGGATAACGGGGAGGCTGAAGAGCACTCCAGCTTCACCCAGACTAGGACAAAAGCCCAGTATCCTTTGACCATTTTACCACTGTCAGTGTCAGGAACTTCTCACTTACTGACAAGGTCCTAAGTGGTCCTCACAGTGAAGTGCAATCACATTTATCTAGAGTTTATTGAGAACAAATAGTTTTAAGACTTCCACAGTCAGGAAAGTGCCTTGTTCTGGATGACTTAGGGTGGCTCTGGGGGTATTGACAAGTTAGAAATCACTGATGTTTGTGTGTTGATATATAGTCATGTGTGTGTGTGTTTGTGTATTTCTAGGATCAAAGGGCTCAGTGTCTCTGTTAGGAACATCCAATCTACAATCATGCATCTAATATACTGCAGAGTCTTGGCTATAGAGTTCTGTCAAGGGTGGATAAAGAATCACTTCAGCGAGCAGATCCTAGTGACCTGTATACTTTTCTTACCCACCCTGAGTTCTGAGACATATGGGATTAACCCAGATTACCACTCTTAGATCTTCCAGCTGACTTATCATTTGGAGAAGGTAAGCATCTAGCAGTCCTATGCCCAAGGACAGCTACCATAAGGATTTCCCTTTTCATTTTACAACAAAGAAGTTGGGATCTACAGTTCTATGGGAACAAGAGTAGATCCCAGAGTCACTGTAAAGGCATGAACTCTGAAGACCTAAAGTTAAGTCCTTTGCTTAGATTCCATGGCACTCATGTTTGAGACCAGAACTCAGCCTTCTTTTGTCTCTTACCTGAATATGACACCTGCCCTCAGTAGACATAATGCTCTGACTCTAATAGAAATACTCCATCTCCTGCTTTTTCAGGCTCTCATAGATGATACCCAGGTGACATTAAGACACCCTTTCAGGCCTTGCCCTGCCTGAATATCCATTTGCTTCCCAATAGTCCCCAGTACCAACCTAGAGCTACATGGAGGCTACCCTAGAAGACACAAAGTCTGTCTGCAAGGCTAGTAGATTCACTGTGATTTCTCTTGAAGGTCTCCTGCCAGGAAGACATGGTGCTACAAAGGTGACCATTCCTAGGCCAAAGGGGAGGGGTTCACCCTTTGACTTTCTTCTCTCTACCTCATGGTCTATCTTCCTGTCACTTTCATGATGTGGTCAGCCAAACCTGGAAGTACTGTTTAGCCAAGTGGGCTCCCCCAATTAGTGCCCCATATCTGTGTAATCAAGCACCCTCTCACATAGAGGCCAGTATAAGTGTTACACTAATTTCCTTCTCTCTGCCTAGCAGAAGTAAAGCTCTTATAAGTTTGCCATTTCCTTATGGGGAAGATAACTCATGCTGTGGGTGACCTAGCCTGCAAAAAAGAGATAGCTTGCATGTGATAGCTACATCCGGTTGATGTTTTAACTACTTCTGATATTTTGAAATACCTGGTAAGAGTTGCCTCCTCTATCCCAATTTGGGGGTTGATATCTCTCTATCTTGGCTCTTAGGTCTTTTCCCTTCCCTTCCTACGTTCCACCATGGTATAAGTTTGGGACTTTAATGGAAGTCATGTGTTTTCAACACCCAAAACGGGGGGAAAAATCACAACATAAGAACTAGATGAAATTTTGATCCTTTGCTTTTTCTTAAACAATTTCATTTATTCCTGACATGGGGTTTTATGCCTTGTAGCAGACATGTCTCTGCAAAACTTTTCCACTCACAGGAAGTCTGCTACTGGCCCTGGACAACCTAAGAGACAGCAGCAATTGCAAGCAGGGGTGAAAATACAAGTGCCCTAGGTTGTTGTACAGAATCTCCCTTAGCAACAACAGCCCAGCAACAGATGCCAAGGAAGCATCTTCCTCTCTTCATGCAAGCCACATCCCCTCCACGAGGCAAAGAGCTCACACAGGAAAGAACACTGACATCTTCCACCACCCTCCCGAGTCCTCCCCCAAACACTCACGGTAACAAGTCACACACAGGTGGCCATTCTTCCTATTTCCACCCAGAGAGAAACAGCCAGAAGTTAAGGAACCACCAGAACCCTAGCCCAGTTCCCAAAGAAATCCGTCCTACCCCCACAGAGGCATCCAGAAAGCCTTAGTCCTGGGACAGGGGAGCAGCAGAGGAGATTTGCTGCTCTTCCAGATGGTACACAGATTGCAGAAGGAGAGGGCTTTGGTGGGATCGGGTGGGGTGTTGTGCCAGCATCCAGGAGACACAGTTGCTTGACCATACAGATGGTGCAGACCCCTTAGAGGTGATCAGACCGGGGAGGTGCAAAGTCTTCAGAAAGTGGTGGTTCCAGTGAGGGGTATAGGTTTGGGGCTGGGTTCTGCTGGCATGGGCTCCTGTTGGCAGGGAAGTGGAGGGCATATACACCCTGCCCCTGCTCTGCTCTTGAGAGCCGTGGCATAGTAGTCCAGGGGCTCTTCCTCAGCACCTCCGGCCACATCCAGGAGACAGCAGCGCAGACAGAGGACCCGCTGAAAGGAACGGCGGAAGTTGTCAGAGAGGAAACCATAAAGAATGGGGTTGGCACAGCTGTTGGCGTAGCTGAGGATGAGAGACACATGGTTGATGGTGGCATTAAGGCTGGTGACAAACAGATTGAGCAGCTGCACCACGTAGAAAGGCATCCAACAGAGCACAAAGACGGCGACGACCATGAGCACCAGCCTAGTGATCTTCTTCTCCGAGCGCCTCCGCTGCTGCCAGCCAGCCCGCAGGGCCACGGCGCGCATCTTGCCCACAATGAGCAAGTAACACAGGCCAATGGCCAGAACAGGTAGTAGGAAGCCCAACAGGAATGTGTAGATCACAAACACCGCTGACCATGCCGGGTGAGGCCAATGCAGATTACAAGCCACTGCCCGACCGCCCCGAGCAGGCTTGGTGTCAGCAAAGACGGCGATGGGCAAAGTGACCAGCAAGGCTGCCAGCCACACGCCCAAGTTAATTAGCTTGGCCACGCTGGGACGCCTGTAAGTGGCGGCTCGCAGAGGGTGCACCACGGCCACATAGCGATCCACGCTGAGCACGGTCAGACAGAAGACACTGGTGAACATGTTGAGACCGTCCACGCTGAGCACAGCGCGGCACAGCACCGAGCCAAAGGGCCAGTGGCGCAGGAAGGCCGAGGAGGCCACGAAGGGCACACTCAACATGAAGAGCTCATCCGCAATGGCCAGGTTGAGCAAGTAGATGTTGGTGGCCGTCTTCATCTTGGCGTAGCGAAGGATCACGAAGATGACCAGGGCGTTACCCACCAGGCCCAGCAAGCACACGAGCGCGTAGATGCACTGGATGGTGACCATGCCCGCTGTCCCTGGACCGTCGGAGCTCGCCGCCTCCTCTCCCTCGGTGGGGGCATTGCTGGCGTTGACTGCTGCCAAAGACCAGGTGGTCTCAAGTCCTTCCACTACCCCGGGGGGCAGCGTCGCCGGGACATTCATAGCGAAGGGTGTCCACCCCGAGGGGGTGCTGGCTCAGGGTGGCGATGCACAGCAAAGCAGATTGAACACAGCGCAAGAGACGCCGGGCAGCAGGGTCGGGTGGTGGGAATGCGAGAGGGGGGGTCTCCCTCGCGTGCGCAGACGCGCGCAGCGCTCAGCCTGCTCCGCCTAAGTAGGGGGCGGCGTACCGGGCCGCGAGCACCCGCCAATCCCTGTGCCCGCCGGCCGCGCACCCCAAGGCAGCGGGAGTCCGGCTGGCTTGCACTGCCTCGGCCGGTGAACCCCAATCCTCCCCGCGCGCGCCCTCCCCTCCAGCCGGCTCTTGGGTGCCAGGTGTCCACCCCGCAGTCGTCTCGGGTCTCTGCTGAATCTTCCCACCGCTGCCGCCCCCTCCTCGCTGCCGGCTCCGCCCCTCAAACTCTGATCGGCAGCCAGGTCTAGGGATCCTTTTCTGCCTCTACCTGGAGTTGCTTCTCCGCTGACCCTGGTCTCACACCATGTCTTCTGCTGTCCTTTTGGTCCCTTCTCCTGCTGCTCTCCGCGTGGGGGGGTGGGGGAGGGAGGCGAGGGGGGAATCTGTAGCAGTAGAGGGAGCTGAGTTCCCGGATCTTCCTTGGTTTGGATAAAGCCATGTCTGGGATTGCTCCAGGATTATCTTCAACGCAGGGTTTATTTCCCCAGATGTTGACATCCCTACCCTCTGCCCCTCTTAATTCTCACGAAAACCTTCCCCCTCCATAAACTGACGTTTTGAAGGTAGAAGGTGAGGAGAATTGCAGATCTGTCAGAGGCAGGCTTAGGGTCTGGGTGCTGGCTGGTTTTGTGCCTCAGTTTCCCCCTTTCCGATGACAACAGTGGATCCTGAGAATTGTGTGGAAATGAGGTGAGGTAGACACATATAGAAGCTCCCAAGCCCATAACTATAGCAGAAAAGAGGTGCTCAGCCCCCCCCACCCCCACCCCGCCGCGGCCACATTTTGCACCCTGGTTAGGTCAAGTGACCTGAAGGGTCTCACCATCTTGGTTCTGTTAGTCAGGAAGGACATGGTACCAGACTGGGATTGCTCTTGTCCCCAAATGCCAGGAAATGTGAGCTTCTGGCATTCAGTGTTGGTCACCCAGCAGGTAGTCCCTACCCTGTGTGGCATAGAATGTGGAAGAATTGGTGAAATGGGCTTTGCTTTGGACAGTTATTTCCAAAGGATACATGGTCCTAAAGAGTAGGCTGGTGCTAATGCCACTCTGGGGGCAGAGGCCTTCCTGAGTCCCAGCCAGCCCCATCAAACCTTAGGATTATTACATTATTTGATTATTATTAGATTATTAGACAGGATTATTTAGATGGCTCAGGTGGGATTGGCTCAGCTCCCATGCTGGGTGGCTAAGTGGTGATGGCAGGGAGAAGGACAGAAAAATGAAACTGTAAACTAGTGGTGGTGGCTTTTTGAAGAAGGGACGTGGAAGCTGTCCATCACTCATTGCTTTTCATTCAGGTTTGGGTTGGGGGCACAGGTGTGACTAAACCTCAAAACAATAGTTGACCCTAAACCCTGTCCCTTCCAACCCTTCCAATGGGCTCATTGAGATGTGGCCAGCTGGGAAATGGTGTCTCATACCTTTCATCCTGCTACTCAAGAGGCTGAGAGCTGAAGATTGAAGTTCAAAGCCACCCAGGCAGACAAATCCAAGAGACCACCAAAAAGCTGAAAAAGAAGCTGTGGGTTAAGTGGTCTTGAGCAAGAAAAAAAGGTGGGGAGGGGAGAGTGTGCAGGCCTGAGTTCAAGCTCCAGTACTGGCAAATAAATAAACAAAAAAGGAGGCACAAGGAAGGGGAAAAAAAGAGGTGTGGTCTCCAAAGTCTTCCACTACTTTATTATCATTCCCTAAGTGTCTGTCTTTTCCTCTGGTCCCATTAACCTCATTGTCCTTCTGGTGAGAAATGTACCCCAGAAAGAGGAAGGAGATGGTGCCTTTGTAATTCTGTAATGCAGGTGTTTTGGGGGAAGCTGGCGAAGGAAGCTTGTATTTCAGTCTCAAGAGGAAAGCCTGTAACAGTCTCTCCACAGATCACTTCCTTTGAGCCCAATGTGGAGTTGCTGGGGGTTGTCCCCCTTCTTGGATTCCCCTCCTCTGTGGTCCTCTCCGCCTATTTAACCCTCAGCCCTCTTCTTTCTTAGGAAAAGAAAGAACATGTTCTTCCTAAAGTTTTCTTCCTAAAGTTTCTTTTTCTGAGAAAAAGAAAGAAAGCGTCCTTCCTAAAGTTTCCTAATTCTGCCTTTTCCCCTACACGAGCAGACACCTGAAACTTATTTTGGAAAGCCAGGATTTAAGAAACTAGATATGCATAGCTATTTTATGTGTTTTTACACAGACAGAGTAAGTAGTTCATAAAAAAATGAACATGATTGGTAGAATATTATGAACATCCTAAATCCAGCATTCCACAGCATTCCTGGGGAGGGAGCATCCATGTGGTCCCTCCTTCAGTCAATAGATAATCGTGGAGAATATCTCTCCTATGCCAAGCACAGCCAAGGGCACAGCATCCATGGAGAATTCAGAGATGCCTTGATATAAAATGATGGCCTACTGTTATGCAGGGCTGCTGAGGCTCTGCCACTGTCACCACTACCTAGGCAGGCAAACAAATGTGACCAACTCAAATCATAGAGAAAGGAAGGCAAGGAATTGCTGAACATGGCAGTGTCAGTGAGAGGGCAGGTAGCCTCCAAAGAGAGAAGCTGGGAGAACAGGCCTTGCTGAGGCCGGGGAAATGAGTGAGTGGGGTGTGTCTGCAGCACAGGTATCATCAGAACTTTTAAGATTACAGAGGACTGGTGTGCCATGTGTGCCTGGTGCCCTCTTCCAAAGCCACAAAGAGGCAGGGAACTTGCATCAATGTCAAGGCCAGAACTGACCAGAGTCTGTCCAGCAACCTGGTTCTGCAGAGGATGGCAGAGGGTCTAGACCTGTAAAATCTGCACAACTTATTCTTTGGGGCTCATAAGATACCAGAAGCAAGAACCACAAGCCACCAGGTGCTAAGCGACTGAAGTAGAGAACAGAGTGGGCACACTTGAACCATTCCCTTTGTAGTTAGGGCAAAAAGCATGGATGGATCATGGATACAATGATAGCTTAGAGTGGGTTCAAATTCCAACTCTAATCCAGGGGCAGTAACTATGCCTGGAACTCTGGCTACTTGGAAGGATCCTAGCAGAGATGGAAAGGATCATGGCTTGAGGCCGGCAAAAATTCATGAAACTACATCTCAACCAAGAAATGTTGGGTGTGGTGCCCAATTGTCATCTCAGAAACCTGTAAATAGGAGGAATGTGGTCCAGAGTGGCCCCAGCCAAAAACAAGGCCCTATTCTGATTTTGGCCCTATTCTGAAAACAGAAACAGCAGAAAGGATGGGAGGAATGGTTCACATGATATAATACCTGCCTAGAAAGCTCATAACCACAGTTCAAACCCCAGTATGGCAAAAACAAACTATAAACAACAACAACAACAACAACAAAGATTCACTTTGGGCAAGATCCTTGATATCTTTATGCCTCTGTTCCCGCATCTGGAAGTGGACATGATCATTGCCACCTCTCAGGGGTGCTGGAGCATGTGCAGGAACTGAGTGATGTTTAGTTCCTGGCTAGCACTGGGTGAGCTTCCATTATCATAGTTATTTCTTTTCTACTCTGTGGTGGATGACCTTAAAGGGAGAATCCAAGTTGTAAGACAAAGGGAGATATATCTTCCTGCATGTGCCCCCAAAATGGCTGCCTTCCGGGTTAGATAATATGAACCATTGACAATCCACCCAATATAATTATCATTGTTCTTGCTGTAAGTTCTGCATAGATTTGTATTTATAGTATTTTTTCACCTCTAACTGCATTTAAAACAATCCTGAGGAAAGAACTATCTCATCCCAACTTTACTTAAGAACCCAAAATAGAGTCAACTTCACTCTTACTCAGCCCTTAACTCACCTCTTGATAGTTTATGCTGAAATGAGACCCCCTCCAGCAGCAAGAGGAAGCTCTACCAGCAATTCTACTCAAGGGCTGGTGTAGCTTGGTGGTAGAGTGTTTGCCTACTGTGCGTGATGGTCTAGGTTCTACAATAGCAGAGAAAAATCTAAAACGAAACAAAAACTGTACCCAGCAATTATGCAACTCCAGCCAAACCAAGACATATGGATCCTCCAGTTGTGTGTGTAGTGGCGGGGGTGGGGGTGACTTTCTGTTTTATTTTTTATTCATTACCACATAAACTGGTTGTTGCTTTTTGGTTTGCTGTAATTTCTAATCAGAAAAAAGGACAGAATTTGAACTTTGTTAAGCATCAGATTATCACCCAAGGAGATAATATCCAAGTGACATTTTCAAAACATCACCTGGGAAGGGTTTTGTAACAAATTGGAAAGACAAGGTGTGTATTTCATTGTGGCAACAAGGTGCTGCTGGAGATGGCCCCAGAAAGAAGAAGGAGATGGTCTTTTTGTCATTCCATAATACCTGTATTTAGGGGAAGCTAGCAAAGAAATCTTGGATTCTAGGGGATGTCCTGGGTATCCAAAGCCCACAGTGGAAAATCATCCTGCTTCCAAAACATGCACCCTCCAAAGTTCATTAAGAAGAACCAAAGGAAAATGTGGGCTATCGGTCACTCAAGCAAGAGTGACTTCTCCAGAAAAGGCGTACTTGAGATGTTTCACCCTTTCTGAGATGAACATGGATCACATGGCTCTAGAGCATGTGACCTTCTCCCTGCCATCCTTTTACCCTCAAATTCTATCATGCCTCAAGAGTGACAGTATAAGATTTCTGAGGGCTCTTAAAAATGAAAAGGGAAAAACTTTCACTTGATATATATATATAGTACTCATATATATAGTACTCATATATATATTATTCATATATAGTATTCATATATACAGTACTCATATATATAGTATTCATATATAGTATTCATATATACAGTACTCATATATAC